TCGAAGGTTGCAATAATGATGAGGTAATATATGAGGTGTTGAGACTCGCACGTGATTTGGATTTAAGTGAGGAAAAGTTGCGCAGCGTCAACCTCACTCTCTCTTCCCAATTCCCATCTGGGTCCAGTAGCAAGACAAAAGTCAAGACAGCTGGAGATGGGACTGGGCGCAGTGGATGACCAGGGCGTCTTCTGTGTCTTGTCCTGCTCTACATGTTCTACAACACTTGCAGAGACCGCCTTCTTGACCGTTGGACCTTCCATTGGTCTCATCCACTCAATCCGCCGGGAGTCTGTCTTCACATGCAGGGATAGACAACTCCCTGTCTCACCGAGGGTTTTGGGCCCATTGACTACCCTCACCTGGTTTGTCCGGCCAGTCGAAGCCGTTGCCCGGGGTGTGGCCGCTGTCGCATGCAAACAGCTACGAGGAGCCACAGGTGAGAGCTGGGTGCCAGGTGTGGGCCAAAGGTGGACGAACCGCCCTGAAAGGACGCGACATGTACAGCCACCAGAGGTGCTACCCCTCCTTGACACTCCCTGACACCCCTCCACAGGTTGACTACATGTTGTGTGAAGAACTTTCTTTTATTAGTTTTAAACCTGCTACCCATTAATTTCATTTGGTGACCTCTAGTTCTTCTATTTAGGGAACTAATAAATAACTTTTCTTTATTCGTCCTCTCCACACCACTCATGATTTTCTATACCTCCATCATATCCCCCTCAGTCTCCTCTTTTCTAAACTGAAAAGTCCCAGTCGCTTTAACCTCTCCTCATATGGGACCCATTCCAAACCCCTAATCATTTTAGTTGCCCTTTTCTGAACCCTTTCCAAGGCCAAAATAGCTTTTTTGAGGTGAGGAGACCACATCTGTACACAGTATTCAAGATGTGGGTGTACCATAGTTTTATACAGGAGCAGTAAGATATTCTGGATCTTATTTTCTATCTCTTTCTTAATAATTCCTAGCATCCTATTTGCCTTTTTGACCGCCGCTGCACACTGTGTGGAAGTTTTCAGAGAACTGTCCACAATAACTCCAAGATCTCTTTCCTGATTTGTCGTAGCCAAATTAGCCCCCATCATACCGTACCTATAGTTGGGGTTATTTTTCCCCGACGTGCATTACTTTACACTTATCCACATTAAATTTCATTTGCCATTTGTTGCCCAATCACTCAGTTTGGTGAGATCTTCTTGGAGTCCCTCACAGTCTGCTTCTGTCTTGACTATCCTAAACAGTTTGGTATCATCTGCAAACTTTACTACCTCACTGCTTACCCCTTTCTCCAGATCATTTATGAATAAGTTGAAAAGGATTGGTCCCAGGACTGACCCTTGGGGGACACCACTTGTTACCCTTCTCCAGTCTGAAAATTTACCATTTATTCCTACCCTTTGTTTCCTGTCTTTTAACCAGTTCTCAATCCATGAAAGGACCTTCCCTCTTATCCCATGGCCATGTAATTTACAAAAGAGCCTTTGGTGAGGGACTTTAAAATGGAGGGATCATTGTAAAAAATGTTTCTAGATGCAAAATTGCTCTACAAAAAGGGAAAAATGATTACACCTAAATACAAAAATATGTTGATATTAATCTAGTGGATAGAGACTTTTACATAGTTGAATGGAAGCAGTCAGAGAGCTTTTCAGCTCTGGTTTTGATACTATATTGATACATCTGAATTTCTTCCATGCTAGTAGAACTTTGCTTAAAATTATATTTAATGCTTCTATAGTGGTTTTTCATCAGAGTATTTTAGTATTATTAATTAATTCTTTTGAGGAGTACATTTGTAAGAATGCTTTTTAACTCTATTGCGGTTAATGAATCATTTCACATTTCATTTTATAGTCTGTTTGACACAATTTTACTTTCTTGGTTTGATTTAGTGAATCAGGAGAATGAGAAATGTGAGGTGGGGTAAATTTCACCCAGTCAATCACATTTTAAAAAGAATACTTATCTATGGTAACTTTAAAATATTTTTTAGCAAGACGTGTAAAAGTATGAATTACAGTATCAACAGTTAAAGGAGATACAGCTTTCTGAAAACCAAGGCAGTATGGAATGACAGCTTTGCCAAATACTCTTTAGGGTTGAAGCTTTTTTTTTTTTTTTTTTTTTTTTTTTAAAAAAAGGCCAATATGTTAATGGCTTTATCGTCCTTGATTGCTCCTTTTATAGCTCAATCATCTAGGGGACCCATGGGTTTTTTAGCAGGCTTCCTGCTTCTAATGTACTTAAAAACATTTTGTTATTTCTTTTTGAGTTTTTGGCTAGCTGTTCCTCACAATTTTTTTTGCTTTTCTTATTACATTTTTACACTTGATTTGACAGTGTTTATGTTCCTTTCTATTTATCTCACTAGGATTGGACTTCCACTTCTTAAAAGATACCTTTTTGTCCCTCACTGCTTCTTTTACATGGTGGTTAAGCCATGGTGACTCTTTTTTAGGTCTCTTGCTATGTTTTTTAATTTGGGGTATACATTTAAGTTGGGCCTCTATTATGGTGTCTTTAAAAAGTTTCCATGCAGCTTTCAGGGATTTGGCTCTAGTCACTGTGCCTTTTAATTTCTGTTTAACTAACCTCCTCATTTTTGTGTAATTCTCCTTTTTGAAATTAAATGCCAGGGTGCTGGACTTCTGAGGTGTTCTTCCCACCACAGGAATGTTGAATGTTATTATATTATGGTCACTATTCCCAAGCGGTCCTGTAACGGTTAGATCCTGGACCTGATCCTGCGCTCCACTCAGGACTAAATCGAGAATTGCCTTTCCCCTTATGGGTTCCGGCACCAGCTACTCCAAGAAGCAGTCATTTAAGCCATTGAGAAATTTTATCTCCGCTTCTCTTCTTGAGGTGACATGTATCCAGTCAATATGGGGATAATTAAAATTCCCCATTATTATAGAGTTCTTTATTTTGGTAGCCTCTCTAATCTCCCTCAGCATTTCAATATCAGTATCGCTGTCCTGGTCAGGTGGTCAGTAATATATCCCCACTGCTAATTTCTTATTATTGGAGCATGGAATTACTATTCATAGCGATTCTATTGAACATGCTGATTCACTTAATATTTTTATTTCATTTGAGTCTACATTATCTTTCACATACAGTGCCACTCTGCCACCCACCCGGCCTGCTCTATCCTTTCGATATATTTTATATCCCGGTATGATTGTGTTCCACAGATTTTCCTCATTCCACCAAGTTTCAGTGATGCCTATTATGTCAATCTCCTCATGTAGCATGGCATACTTGTGTGATTAAAAGTGGCCATGCAGAGCATGGATGCAACGACTGTTCTACAGCTGCAACAAGACTTGTGCTAAGTAGAACACATGGCCAGAAAACATTAAACAATTCCAGGTTAAATGCCCCAGAGTCAACCTGTAGAGGCCCAAAAGTAAATGGTAATTAAGACTATTCAGTGCTAGTTAGGCTACAATTTTGAAATGCCAACCTCTAATTTCTAACAGTATAGGTAACACTAGTTATGTTTCAGAGGGGGTAGCTGTGTTAGTCTAACTTTAACTGGGTGGCCCATTACAAAGCCAAATTCTCCTGACTTTAATATCTGCATTCTCACATCAAAAGCTGTAAATGGGACACATCCAGCCCACTTAATTAGCCTCATTAATAGAGGTCCTACAATTGACAGGCACTTCCGCTGATATTACTTTGTTATTCTCTAGGGTGCCACAGGTTTACTAAGTAACTTAATCTAACTTTAACTGGGTGGCCCATTACAAAGCCAAATTCTCCTGACTTTAATATCTGCATTCTCACATCAAAAGCTGTAAATGGGACACATCCAGCCCACTTAATTAGCCTCATTAATAGAGGTCCTACAATTGACAGGCACTTCCGCTGATATTACTTTGTTATTCTCTAGGGTGCCACAGGTTTACTAAGTAACTTAAAGAT